TTATCAGTTTTTAGGTTTTCCCAGTTGTTTGTTGTTGCTTTTGATCACACAGTAGGGCTGCTATGAATACTCCTGTACATGATTCTCAGTAGGCAAGTGTAGGACCTGGTTGGGTCAAGGGCATGCACACTTTCACCCTTACTAGGTCAATGCCAAATTGTTTCCAAAGAGCTTGCCCCAATTTACACTTCCACCTGCATGATGAAAACTTTTCCGTCTCTGGTTGTTTCACATAGTTTCCAGCATTTGGTAACATCAGCCTTTAATATTTATGGCAATGTGGTAGGTATAAAATGGTATCTCATCTGGTTTGTCTCATACTTTACTGATTACTAATGCAGTTGAACATCTTTCATAAATATTTTGGCCTTTTGGTTTTCATTTTCTATGAAGTGCCTGTTCAGGACATTATATATTATCTCCTGTATCATTTGTCTTTTCCAGGTGATTTATGCAAGTTATTTACATAATCTAGATGCTAACTTTGTGTTAGTTACACAGACAGTAAATATCTTCTCCACTTTTGTGGGATTCTTTGTTGTGTGTTTGAGAAATGAAGTTCCTAATTTTAATATCATCTGATGTTATTAATCTTTTCTTTCTTTTTTTTTTCTTTGTGTCTTGTTTAAGAAATCCTTGTCTACCCAAAGTCACAAAAATATTCTATATAGTCTTTTAAAAGTTAAATAGTTTGTATTTTCCAGTTACTTTCCAGTTAAGTCTTAAATCCAACTTGAATAGGTTGTTTTGCAAGGTATGGGGGGTATCTAATGTAATTTTTAAAAATACGGATAACCAGTTGTCCCAGAGCAATTTGTAAAAAACCTCCATTCTTTCTCCACGGATCCACCCACCAGCTGTCATAAAATAAGGTACACACACACACAGACACACACACACGAGTCTCTGGTATTCCTAGCCATTTTTCCTTTCTTATAAATTTAGGATCAGCTTATCAAGTTCCACAAAAATATCTGTCGTAGCAAATCTTTAGATCAGTATAGACAAAAATGACATTCCTTTCTACCACTCAGTTTTTTTTTTAAAGATAAAAAAAATTTATAGTGAACAAATGTATATCCACTACCTATATTCTACAATTTCCATTTTACTACATTTGCTTTATCATATAGCCGTCCCTCTAGTCATCCATTAATCCATTAATTTTCAAATGCATTTCAAAGTAAGTTGTAGACACTTCACCGTTACACTCATGAAGATATTAATTTCATATATGTATTTTATATCTGGCCACTTAATCTTCTAGATGAATATTCATATAATCCTTAAATAAAGATACTTTTGTCTTTACTATTTTAAATTTATACTTATTATTTGATATTCTTTTATCTTCCTGCAATTAGAAAAGTCTCAAAAACAGACTTAAAATCGTGGTGGTAGTTGGCATTCACGTCTTATTCCTAATTCTTGTGCAAATGGTTTAAGATTCACTATTTAGTAGTTGATTGCTGGTAAGTAACCAATCATATTCAGAAAATTTTTTCTAATTCCACTTTTACTTTAACAAGTTTTTATTGAAAATGTCTGAAGAATTATACCAAATGCCTCTCGACTTCCATTAATATTCTAACACTTTTCCTTTCCTTTGTTGATATGATGATTTATATTGTTAGATTTTCTAATGTCAAACTATTCTTACATTTTCAGAATCAATACTACTACCTGATTATGGAATATAATTAACTTGCACTCCTGGATTCAATTGATTAGCATCATAGTTAAAATGAATCTACATGCATAAGATTTCCTTTTTCCACACTGGCTTTACTAGTTTTTAGGACTCCAACTACTTGAATAAATGATAAACACCCTACCTGGGATAACTAGCATAAAATAGAGCCTATCTGTTTTTGTTTTGTTTTGTTTTTTAATAGGTTAGGCAGAATTCAGTTATAAAACCACCTGGCTCTAGTAACTTTCTAAATGGAAGTGTTTATAAAAACCTATTTCGTGTTTCTGTGATTATTGATTTATCCAAGTTTTCCTCTTAGACAATTTGAATAGACTAATTTTATAGAGAACTCCATTTCCTTTAGGTTTTTAAATCTATTGAGTTCACATACTATCTGTAAAAAAAAAAATTCTTTTAATCTCCATACCTCCTTTATTTCCAATGCCACATTTTTTTGTTTATTTCTCTATTTTTTCCTTACTGTGTCCTTCCAAGCGGCTCTTCACTTTTAGCTAGAATAATTTGCACACTGTTACAATATTTTTGGGGGGAGACGGGAATTAAGAATGGGTTTTTCAAGATGGGATCGGGAGGGAGAGAAACCATAAGTGACTCTTAATCTCACAAAACAAACTGGGGGTTGCTGGGGTAAGGGGGTTCAGGAGAGGGTGGTGGGGTTATGGACATTGGGGAGGGTATGTGATATGGTGAGTGCTGTGAAGTGTGTAAACCTGACGATTCACAGACCTGTATCCCTGGGACTAGTAATACATTATATGTTAATAAAAAAATTAAAATAAAAAAAATGGGTTTTTCATTTCATTAAAAATTAAATTCAGCTTATATCTCTTACCTGCTCCTATTTTCTACTTTTTCCCCTACCTTTTAGTTGTTCTGTTCCTATTAGCTTGAATATTTATTTTATTTATTTTCAGTCTTTATTTTTAATAATAAAGGAATTTAAAGCTACATTTTTCTCTTCAGCACAATATACTCTGACTACCAATTCGACTTTTGAAAATGTATTCTAAAGAGTAAAAGTGTCCAGTATACAAGAATATACAAATGCTGAGGCACCTGGGTGGCTTAGTCCTTAAAGTGTCTGCCGCCTTTGGCTCAGGTCATGATGCCAGAGCCCTGGGATCCAGCCCTGCACTGGGCTCCCTGCTTGGCAGAAAGCCTGCTTCTCATTCTCCCACTCCCCCTGCTTGTATTCCCTCTGTCACTGTCTCTCTCTCTCTGTCAAATAAATAAATAAAAATTTAAAAAATATACAAATGCTTGTTGTAACTTCTTTCAAAGTGGTAAGCAAACAAGCAATATACAAAAAGAAATCTAGAGTATAGCCTAAATGTCCACCAATATCAGAATAGTTGTCTCAGTTACATTATAAGCTCACTATATATGAGTCTCGTATCATTTAATTTGGGTATATTGCCTTAGAGGGATGTCCATAAAATATTATTATGTACAAAACAAAACTTCAGAGTCACGTGACTTGTAGGATTCATTTTTGTAGAAAAAAAAAAAGGACACAAAACAAAGCACAAGCATACTAAAAAGTACTTTCTACTTCACATCTACACACACACACACACACACACACACACGCACGCACGTGGGCATGCATGCAAATACACGTAATATATACTTACTTGTATTTCAGATGGGACCGATAATATAACCAACTTTACTAGGTTACTATAAAGAGACACATCAGACATGGTAGGAAAAGAATGAACCTAATTTTTATACATCTCTGTATCATTTAACTTGTTGAATGAGAATTTATTTCTTCTGTAAATTAAAGTGATGAAAGTCTATTGATATGACTATGAAATTTTGGTATTAATTCTAGGAGCTTATTTTAAAATTTAAGTGATTAATCTCTCTGTATTATCTTTATCATAGCTTTCCTGTCACAATTTCTGTAATACATCATTACTGTGAAAATTTCTTCTAAATAAAAACCAATTAATGGTTTAAAACTTATATTGCTTTCATCTTCACATACACACACACACACACACACACCACATATGTGTATAAATATGTACATGTGTATATGTAATGTATTTTTATAGATATTATATACATACATATTTTTACATATATATTATATACACTTCTTTTCCTCCAAAGTGAGTATGTTAAGTGTTCACTGAAACTCTGGGCTGCTACTCTACAAAATCTCTAGGAGGCCTCCTGAAGAATTTCCTTCAATAGTAGTAAACTTGTGGACAGCAAAAGAAGTAAAAATACTAACCTGGTAGGAAAAGATAAATAAATAAACAAACTAAACAAACAAACAAATAAATAAATAAATAAAATGGGAGAGTCATGGGCTCTTATCCCACAACATAAAAAGAAAGCAATATTAATTATTAGGTGTGAGAAGACAAAGGATTTACGACTATGACCAAAAAAGCTGTTCTTATATTGTACAAATCAAGGAGTTAGTGAAGATAGACAAAACAAAATCAAAACAACAACAAAAATCAACAGTACCTTTTTCTTGTGGTGTTTTCTTGGTGGTGGCTTGATGGTGGCATGGAGATTGTTCCATATCATGGTCAGATTTTGAAGGAGAGGAGAGTGAAGTGTCTCCCCAAATAAGGGAGGAAGGCTCCTTTTCCGGGCTCAGTGGTCCCTCTGGAAATTCAGCTATGTGGTCAGATGAGAAGGGCACACTGCCAGCCACTGGAGTGAGGGATGGAGCACCAGAATCTGATTCTGGAGAAGTTCTCAAACCCTTGGGCAGAAGTGATTTGGAAATGTGCGTGTGGTTATAGAAACTGTTTGACAGCTGTTGGTATAAGAGATTATAAAGGAGGTTATGCCGCTGAGCATCAGCTCCAGGAATACTTACTTTGAAATCAGACCAAACATTTTTAGTAAAAAATTTTCCCTTGAAAACCAATTTTTTTGTGGGTTTACAGATGAGACTGCATAGTTTACAACAATTCAGCATATTACCATTGTAGCTAAAACAGACACCTAAGACATATAGAAACAATTACTTGTACATTCCTTATTTCCCACTAGGTAAAACCAACAACTGAATATAAAAACACCATCACGAAATATGACAATAGGGATAATGTCTTGGGTTAGTTCATTGAATGAGTACAGAAATAAGCTGAATTACAATTTATCGAGTTGAGCAAGAATTTAGGAGACAAAACAGTGAACTACTCCAGCTGTTTCCATCTAGGGCATAGAATCTGGCTGCAGAAAAATCATCTTCAAAAAGCTGTAGGAACAAGGAGACAGCTCGACACTGCAAGTCAGAAATCAGTCAGCTCACCTTCCGCTCCAGACTGTCTTCCCCATCTGTTGAACTGACACTATCATAGAGTCTTGTCCTAGAGGGCCTCTGGCGTCTGTTCTTCACAGAGAGCTGGGCTCGGGTTTTCAGTGCTTTTGAATCCAGGCGCTCTGTCTCTGGGACTGCCTCATTCAAGTCTAAGGAAAGAATAAAGCAAAATAATCGGTGAGGGAACCTTTGGAGAGGATCGTCAAAGAGACCACAGGCCCTGATAACAAAACTCTCAAGGTTATCATTAACACCGGGAAAAAAATCGGTGACAATCATGCCAGCCTGTCTGATATCCCACGGGTAACAAACAAGTCTGTGAGATTTTAGGAGAAATGTACAAAGTCTAATGGAAGAAACCAACACCAAAAGTGACCAAGGCAACAAAAAAATCTTACATTCAAAGAGCCAGCGTGGTCCTCTGTGGTCTGCCTCTCACTACCTTTAATTTTGTGGCCCTGAGTCCAAGTCAGGACTCCAAGTTACCATTCCAAAAGGGAGAAGGAAAGGTTACCCATTGATTTATGTAGGCGTTGGCTGAGGAAAAGTTCTCCTTTGGTTGAATTTATCTGGAATCCTGCTCCTTAAAAAAATGTAGTTTGATCATCAATCCTGCTTTATCTTTTTAGAATGGCAGTCACTAAATGAAGTCATAATGTTCACAGAATTAATTAAGTGCTTCTGGATTTAAATTATTAAAAATAAAGCTTATAACTGAGTTGCAGAAAATTAATGTGTACTGATATTAACGGAATAAAACAATTTCTTACAGTAGCATTACTGGAGAAAATACTCTTTCACAGTGTTATTACGAAGGTGTGCTCTAAATATATCAAAAAAGCAGAACAAGAAGCATCTCAGGTTGTGCTTCTCTTACCTATGGAACTTTGCATTTGGCATATGGTTCTAACAAATTATATTAAACATATTTTCCCTAGGAGATACATCCACTGAGTGACAATATTTACGAAAGATTCTGACTCTTCATTTCCTGTATTTGAAAGAAAAGTGAATATTCAAAAAAGTCAGACTATTCAGGTATTTATAAAGGACAGCTAAATATTTTCTAATTAGTCATCTCTTCATTGTTTACATGTCAATGGAGGAAAAATAATCTCCTTGATCACTTTAATTTCTTCCTTTCAATAAAATCTAAACCTGCAGCTGCCGATTAAGAGTTCATTAGTTGTGATAATTGGGAGATAATCAACCTTACAAGCTCTTGTTTACATATAAAATGTGGGAACACCACATAGATGAAAGCAATAATATAATTAGACAGACTGTCATACAAGCCCGTTTCACAGTTTATCTATCTTGTATGTGGACTGTATCTTCTGTAACACAAAGCAGTCACACAACCGTCTCATGTGTTCCTCACAACCCCATGCGACAGAGCCACCAAGTTATGTTTTATCCTCTCCAGAAGTTGAGAGAACTTGAGTAACTCGCCCTCATCTGCATGGCTGGTTGATGAGCTGCCATGATTTTTCTTGTTTTTTTGACTCCCAGGCTACTAGTCTGTGCTCTCCAAATTGAGCTAGGATTGAACAAGCTACTAGAAAAAGAATTTTCCTGCCATTACAGTTCAAATGTTTTTCATTGCAAAATCACATATAATGTGACTAATCTAGGAAATACATTTCTCCAATTGGTTACCTATAGAATATACTTACTTATCTTCCACATATGTGTTAAGAAAGCATAAAAAGGAAGACATGTTGAAAACTATAGAAAAAATTAATTCTCGGATTTCTTTTTTTTTTTTTTAAAGATTTTATTTATTTGAGAGAGAGAGAGAGAGAGCATGAAAGGGGCGAGGGGCAGAGGGAGAAGCCAGCTCCCTGATGAGCAGAGGGCCTGATGTGGGACTTGATCCTGGGACTCCAGGATCATGACCTGAGCCGAAGGCAGTTGCTTAACCAACTGAGCCACCCAGGTGCCCAAATTCTCGGATTTCTTAATCGGTTGCTTTGTAACAGTGTTGGTTACTGGGTGACAAGAAGACTCAAGGAGGAAGCTTGTTCTCCTTTTGTTAACATGGCTTCTTTTGCAACAGAATCCTGGCCCCGGAGGACCCAATGTAGCACCCAACATCCAGAATTGCAGAAGCTACTCCACCACTAGGCGCTGAAGAAATAAAGTAAGGGAACATGAGAGCTACTTATTAGCAGGGTTTCAAGGGCAGAGAATTATTCTGGGACTTCCGGCTGTTATTATTCATGAATTTGCCTGGTACTCATATCTAACAACTTCCAAAGAGCAGTCTAGAACACCTGCTTTATTATCAGCTAGCACTAGGTAGGCATACGGAATTACATCTATCAAAAATGAAGTCAGCTGGAAAAGCAGCGCCTTAAGTCCACTGTCCAAGTGGCCAACAACACACTGCATCCAATCAAGGATTTTTGAGGACCAGAACACGAGGCTTTTAGCAGTGCTTCATGAATTACCATTCAGCAATTTATATATTCCATTCCAAGAATGAATGTTTTTTAAGTAAAGAGCCAGAAAAATGGAGTGGAGTGGAGAACTTTCACTTCAACAGCAGGAAGTCTGGAGCTAGCAAGCTACATCGCCCTCAGGAGTGTTAGAGGATGTGTGAGCGAGAGAAGGAAACTGTGTATAGGACTTACGTGGTTGGGTAACCAGAAGCTATCTTTTTCTATCATGTTGTTCAAGAATCAGAATATTGCAGCTCAAAAGAACCTTAGGGATTCAATCTCCGCTTTCCTTTCCAGTTAGGAAAAACAAGCCTCAAAGAAGATTACTAACTTGTTTACTAACTGCATCACACAGCTAATCTGTGGATGAGACAGGATAGAGCTCAGTCCTCAGAAGCCTGTTCTCTTGGGGCGCCTGGGTGGCTCAGTCAGTTAATCATCAGACTCTTGATTTCACCTCAGGTCATGATCTCAGGGTCCTGGGATCCAGCCCTGTGCCAGGCTCTGTAATCAGCACAGAGTCTGCTTTTCCCTCTCCTTCTGGTCCTCCCCCTGCTTGCTCTCTCTCTCTCTCTCTCAAATAAACAAATAAAATCTTAAAAAAAAAAAAAAAAGTGCTTATCAGCCTTCTGGAAGGTCATTCTCAACTCTGAAAGTAAACTTCACAAGTAACCTTGTGCTGTCATAGAGTCTTTGTTTTAGTCTTACTTTATGTTCCAAACAAAAATACAGGTCAGGTTCTAACTTTGCAAATCTCCAGAAGTATATAGTATCTTAGAAAGAAATCTGAGGGATTTTATTTGGTTTCATATTTATCCAAGGAGTAAAATTCTTACATCAAAAACTTAGCTGGCAGGGCTCCTGAGTGGCTCAGTCTTTAAGCATCTGCCTTCGGCTTGGTCCTAGGATTGAGCCCTGCATTGGGCTCCCTGCTCTGTGGGAAGCCTGCTTCTCCCTCTCCCTCTGCTGCTCCCCCCGCTTGTGTTCCCTCTGTCGCTGTCTTTCTCTCTCTCTCTGTCAAATAAATAAATAAAATCTTTTTAAAAAAAATTAGCTGTCAGTTTTGAGGATGACAATGTGGCAGAAGAAATCCAACCAGCTCCACATGGCTAAGTCATACACTACTGAATGAAAGGGCTTAGGTGGCCATGTTCTCTCACTGTCATTCACTCTCAACAGAGACCTTAATCAATAACCTAACACTGCTTTCATAAAGCCAAGACCTGGGTTCTTCCTCTACCCCTTCTCTCCAGCTGTTGTGTTCTGTTGTCCATAAGAATCAGAGGGAAATTTCCTTTTCATTTCTCCTTTCCTTCTCTATTCCTTTTGTTCAGACCCTCCAGTCTCTGGGCGGCAGGGTGGTGGGGGGAGCCTAACTCTGACTCAAATGCAGCTAGAAATACAAAAGATGGGCAGACTCGAGTGGGTTAACAAATACAGACAGACAAACAGCAAAGATATGAAGTGACTCATGACAGAGCGGTGCTGCGTGGGTGGGACTCGACCTCAGTGTACCTGCCTTTTAAGATCAGCTTCAATATTGTTTCGAATTGCATCCTTGAAAAAAATTTAATGGATTCGATTATGATTTTAGCAGCTGTTATGAAAAATGTTCTGTGAAATTAGGATGTTATATATCCTATCACACAGCAATAAGTTCCCTCTAGTAAGGCTGTGAGTCATTCCGTTTTTTCACCAGGTTGACATTATTTTTGACGTAAATGGAACGCTGCCCGCAGATCAGACAGAGATGGCCAGGGAAGGGGGGAATGGGACAGCATGACATGGGGGCTGCTCTGCATTCTTAAGGGTATTATTCTCCTCAAAAACAGTCCTGCCTCTATGATCTCACTTATGCTGTTATCAACTATGGTGCTGAGCATGAGCCACTTGGTGGCAATTTAAAATTTGAACAGTAGCCGCCGATCACTCATAGCCACTGCACCTTCGCACAAGATGGGCCTGCGGGTTTGGAGGTTGCTATGCCCTGCGTTCAGAGGTAGGTTTATGTATCTCAGAGAGGTGGTGAAAAACAGTTACCATGACAGTGATCTGCAGTTAAGTCTCCCTCAAACAGAATCCAGATCGGCGGCTCCAGTCACTAAATTGAGCAATTTCTCTAACCTCTCTGTCTCTTAGCATCCGCAACTGCAAATGGGCACGATGGTAACATAGCACTGAGAGTGGTAACATAGCTGCGAGGACCAAATGCATTCATAGATATGCAATGCTTGGAAGAGCGACGGTTACGGAAGCACTCAATGCGTGCACTTACTGACATGGAAAGGTTAGCAAGATAGTCTCACATGACGAAAGCAAGCTGCAGAACCACATGTACTTCATTTTAAATATTTTTATAATTTTATAATTTATAATTGAGGATAAATAGGTGCATGTGATTTAACATCGTCCTGACGATGGTAGGGACCTCCAAAGAAGGTATCAGATTTGGAGATCTTGGCCAACAGGTACTTTAAACCTATTTGTAATGTTAATTTTTTTGTATTATATGTATTTTTCGTGTGTTTATATATTACTTATATATGTAAAATTAGTAAAAACAAAACAAAACTAAGAAAAACAACCCGCACATTCAGTACATTTTCTTTTACAGACATCTTAATTCCACTCTAATCCGAGAGCTCTGGTGTTTTAGGACTCGGAATGCCCAGATCTTGTTATTAGTCTGGGAAACTTTGTCAAAA